TTTATATATTTATATATTTATATATTTATATCTATATATATATGGCTGTGTACGTGCTCTGCGTCCTTTTCGTATTACAGCAGTGTGGGTTATATAATTAAGAAAAGTGCACTACTGCTGTCATCCTTGCTCTCTTGGGTTGTTGCGTTCGATTGTATGGGCTTGTCTTGATTGCCGATTGATCTTCTACTTTCTACTCGTATTCAATCATCTGAAAGTGTGAGCGGTGCCTACAGATATGGCTTTCCTTCGTAGTTGGTATCTCGTCTTATCTAGAACCCTGAAACCCTAAAACCCTGATTGTAAGAGTTCTTATTTGGACAGCTTACAATCCGAGGTATGCCTACCTGTTTGGACTGCCGCTCGTTAATTCACAGGTCACCTATAGCGCCGCTCTCCTACTCAGGCAACATCTATCATGTACGTCAGAGGATAAAGTCTTCACCCAGTCGATCTTATAGTGTAATGCCACTCAACCTCATTGCTACTTAAACTTTTTCATAGCATGGAGCACGGGATAGTGATAGTATAGTAAGTATCCCAATACACTCATATACCGTCCCTGTACGCGTTAAACGTTTCCCGCTGCCGGGGAAGTCGTTTACGTACCAATCGGCCATCTTCACCCGTTTGACGAGTTTTGTCAACAACCGTATTGCGTAAACCCGCGTGCCCGTCATACCAGCTACTAACCACTAACCCATCCTGTAACGCTTACACGTACATGCCATACCCTCACACACCGACACTCTCACGTCTCTCCTGTATAAAGTGCGCACCGATGCATTCACTTATAAGGAACGGCGACAGCCACAACGTACCATGACGTCTACGAATCTAGTCATCGACATTACGGGCATACAGCAGGAGACTGTGCTATTAGTAGCACACTACGACAGCACTGGAGAGACGGTTGGTTCAGAAGGGGCGACGGACAAGTGAGTGAAGGCTGGGGGGTTGTGGAGATGTACGCACATAGATACATATGTGTATACATGTATATATGTAAATATATATATATATATATATATATATATATATATATATATATATATATATATATATATATATATATATATATATATATATGTATATATATATATATATATGCATGTATGACACATACATACACACATATATCATACATGCATACATACCTACATACATCGTACATGCATGCATACATTCATACATACATTCATCCATACATACATACATTTATACATAGTATACATACATACATACATACATCCACACACAAAAACATACATACATACATACATACATACATACATACATACATACATACATACATGCGTGCAGGCCACGAGGACTTGCTGTCCGCTGTAAAATGCACTGTAACGTGATGCGTGTCACACGGAGTGATAGGCGCATGAGTCATGGGTGAGATGTTATGATATACGCTTCACGCAATCCGCGACAGATTGGAAGGGAGTTCCGCACACACACACACGCACACACACACATATATATATAGATATATATATATATATATACGTATATATATGTATATATATATAAGAGAAACAAACTGCTTACCATAAAGACATGCGATACCATCCAGTACAGCACGCTAACATGCACGCACCTGTCCTCCTATAGTCGTAGCAGACCGTACCTACACCGCAACACCCACGACCAACCCTACAGCATGCTTGTATACATGCCTGAAGCTTACAACTATCTCTAACCCGCTCTACCAAACACTTGTATATACTCCCATGCCGCACTTAAAGTCAGAAATTCTTACTTTCCTTACATACGTACATACTTCCATTCTTACATACGTACATACTTCCATACTTACATACTCGCATACTTCCATGTTTACATACGTACATACTTCCATTCTCACATACGTACATACTTCCATGTTTACATACGTACATACTTACATACTTACATACGTACATACTTCCATGTTTACCTACACCTCAACACACACTACCACAGTGGAGCGGGAACATCGGCATTGCTCGCCCTGGCGAAAGCCCTGTGGGATTTGCATCCGGACAACGTGCCCTACAGTGTCCGAATTTTATGGACAGGTGCAGAGGAGAATGGCTTGCACGGGGCCATGGCCTATGTGACAAGGGCGCTGGAGAATGGGGAGTTGAAGCATGTCCGGGCTGTGATCAACCTCGACACTGTGGGTGGGTGAGTGTTGTCGCTGTGGCTGCGTATAGCGTGTACCTGATATGTGCACACAGGTGTGTGTGAAAGTGCGGCAGTGGGACAAGGTCATGGCATTTGGTGGCGAAGTAAACGTATACGTATGCAGAGTCTTTAGGCTTTTTAGTAACCCGTACACCACATACTATTGAAGGCGCCTGCGCTTGATCGACGCATGCGGAGTCAGACCTCAATAACGGTTTGCGGGCGTGTGGCAGAGTGTGCCACTGTATATTGCATGCAGAATCATCCCGTAGTACCGTACGATGTGTGCCTATGTATCTGCAATTGCGTTTTGTTCGGTTGTCTCGTAATAAACGTTTAACGCAACCGATGCCGTTCGTTGCTAACGCACTTGCGCCGAGGCTATATATACGTCGACCGGTACTTTATACGGGTAACCGTTGACAACTATACATTACAAGAAGAGTGTGATCACTCGTGCCCACTATCAATACACACCCCTCTACAACCTTGCATTAATCTTTGCCTGTCACTGCTAGATCCGAATGTAGGGTTTGGTGTTAGGGTCTAGGGTTTGGAAGGGTTTAGACTGTCCCAGCACCTGATCTGCTGGCCCTTTTTGTGGTCCTGTAGGCCTTGCAGAGGTGTTTGTCCTAGCCACTCTACGAGTCGCGCGCCAACCCTCACTTGGCACCTGCTTCTCCTTCGCCCAACACTCACCCTCATGCTTGCGCAATAAACCCTAAACCCTAACCCATACTTGCGCATTCATCCCTAAACCCTAAAACCCCACATCCCTGAATCCCTAGATCTTAAACCCTTAAATTCTAAAACCCCAAACCCCTGCCTGGCTGCACTCTCCTCTCTCCTCCATACCCCGGGCGTGTGTTTCCCTCCCCCAGGTGGCGGTGACTTTCTGTATGTGCACTCCGCGCACTCGGCCTATACCGAGTACAGTCACGAGTGCGAGGCCTTGGGCCTGTCTCAGACGAACTACACCTACAGCCCAGTAGTCAGAGACCAACTGCTCAGCGCCTCTGCACAGACGGACAGTGTGGCTAACGTTTTCATCATTCATCCGGATTTCCCAGGTAAGCTTCTGCACAGGCGCACAGTGTGGCTAACGTTTTCATCATTCATCCGGATTTCCCAGGTAGGGCGAGATGTGCCCACACACAGATACGGGGATGGGTCAGAGAGGTGGGATAGGCACATACAGGCACACGTGTATAGTGTTGTGTGTGCATCCACAGATACGTGGATGGGTCAGAGAGGTGGGATAGGCACATACAGGCATACGTGTATTATTTTGTGTGTGCACCCACAGATACGTGGAAGGGTCAGAGAAGTGGGATAGGCGCATACAGGCATACGTGTATTGTGTTGTGTGTGCACCCACAGATACGTGGATTGGTCAGGGAGGTAGGATAGGCACACACAGACATACGTGTCTTGTTGTGTGGGCACGCAGAGAATACTCACGACTCTCCCGGCCGTAATGTGTGGGTATATATAGGTCTATAGCGGTGTGTGGCAATGTCATAACTATGGCATACGTGGTTGCATGCATAGAGAGAGGGACACCAGTTAAGAATAGATGCGAAAACACGCATGCACACGATCATTGCAGGATTTCCGATGATGGGATGTGTGGCAAAACGTATCACGAAACACAGAACACACGGTTAGCGGACCTCAGATACTGCATCGTGTGGTGCGTTAGAGACAGTTAGCGTCTCGGAATGTCCCAATGCATGTCCACATACGCAGAGAGTTGAACGGCACAGCCTATCACTAAGATATCTCTGCAGGAGTACAACACTGGTTGGTATATATGGAACATGCACTACTTATACATTCAGAACAAACAGCCGTAGAAATGGTCTCTATCGGATCATACTATTTTTATACATATAGATACAGCCCTACAGAAAACGCCTATACCTCCAGGGGTTTCCCTCAACTGTATGCGCCAACCTCACACTCCCACACAC